TTTTTACCGATGAAGCTAGTTTTTCTCGAAACTCAATACGAAATTTCCATAATAACCATTTGTGGGCGGATGAAAACCCTTTTGCAATTGTTGAATCAAATCATCAAGAACAGTTTTCAATAAATGTTTGGGCTGGTATTATTGACGATTATTTGATAGGCCCATTTTTTCTCCCAAGAAGATTAGATGGACAATCGTATTTACACTTTCTTGAAGAAGATCTGCCGCCAATGCTTGAAGACCTTCCTCTTTTATTAAGAAACCAGATGTGGCTAATGCACGATGGTGCGCCTCCACATTTTAGCTTACGGGTGCGTGAATTTTTAAATCACAACTATCGCGATCGGTGGATAGGCCGCGGAGGAACGCAGTCATGGCCGCCCAGATCTCCCGACCTTAATAGTTTAGACTACTTTTTCTGGGGTCATCTGAAAAGCTTAGTGTACGCAGTGCCGATTCAAACCGAAGAAGAGTTACGAAATCGTATAATAGTATGCTGCCAAACCATAAGAGACACCCCAGGAATTTTTGAAAATGTACGTCAGTCTATGCGAAGAAGAGTAGATGCTTGCATACGTGTGGATGGAGGACACTTTCAACAACTACTGTAAATATATAATAAATACATTATGACACTTTACCCAGCCTACTAATTTTTATTTCATTTGCTGTCGGACAAATTTAAATCGGCATTTGCAACAAAATTTCCAGTTACTTAAGCTAAAAATAAAAGATGTGGTTTTGACTTTTCAAGACCCCGGGAAATTGTTATGTTTTTGGACTTTTCCGGGTGGAAAAGCGGAGGAATCGAGAAAAGTCGCAGAGGAAAAATGTGGTAGACTCATTAAAAGGATGCGCCTCAGGAGTTATAAAGTATGTGGTAATCAACTTTCCAGGGGGGGCCTGTACTGTGGACTAATTCATTTAAACATTTTAAAAGCCCATCTTATATCATTATTAATACAGATGAAAATAAGGTATTTTCAAAGAATTATAATAACAAAACTTTTACGTTTTGTAGACAAAAAACTGTTGTTTTCGTAAAATGTTACTGTCGCCTCGAGACGAAAATGAAAATATCAAATTGATATTGAAAGAGGCCTATATCTACAAGTGTTTATTGTTATGTCTAGAATGTATTCATTTACTGAGAAAAGTAAAAAGAAGATTAAATGATAAGCTGCCATAGATTAAAATATAATTACCGGTTCAACATGAAATTTCAATGGGAATTATTCTGTTTTAAAATTAATATACTGACTTATCCCATAATCACATTAAAAAAACTTGATCGATTAATCAATTAATACCAAAATCCCATCTGTCATTGATTAAATCAATACAACATATTTGTTTAATAGTCCGCTGGAGAAAATTTGTAAAAATTAAAGCGTGCGTGCTTAAATAGGGTGGCCCAACAACCTCGGACAACGTGTACTATTGTTATAGGTTATACAGTGTGGTCCAATTTGACTGTGCAACTTGTACACTGTATATTAATTAAAATTAGCATAGAAAAATAGTAATTATCTAGAAGCACACGCTCTGGAACCACATGTCCTTAGAACTGGGGTAAACTCACGGAAACGTTTCAACTTTTGAACTTCTGATGTGCCGAATCCAAATCTGAAGTATTTTCAGCTGCATTCCCCTTTAGATTTTGCAAAAATCGCAAAATAATAGTAAAATATCACCGGACATATCGAAAAATCGCTAAAAGTCACTTTAGTGAGCGCAAAATTTTCTCTGATCTTGATCTTATGTAATTTGAAACGCTGAATTTGAGTCTGAAGTCTATTAGCTGTATCCTCCCACATATTTTGCAATAAAAACGCAAAAAATAGCTGAAAGTGGCAAAAAATTATATTAATGGGAGAGAAAATTCAGAGAGAGGTTTTCTAGATTGGATCAAGTGTTCTTCTCATAAATTTTATAGAGTCGAATTTGAATCTAAAGTCTATCGAGCCTCATTACCCAAAAAATTTGCAAAAGTCGCAAAATGCCGGAAAAATCCCAAGAAATCATGAATAAATGTCATGGATATGAATTACTTCCAAATAAATTCCACTGACTCGAACCAGGCTTTCTTTGATGTTGCTCTTACACTTTTCTTCTCTTGTAGCGAACACTTTTCTTTTCGAAGTACAATTTAAGATTCATCAACCATCCCAACTGTTTGAAATTTTTCAATATTTCTTCAATCAAATTTTCGTAATCCTCGCTCTTCTTATTTCCTAAAAAGTTCCGAGAGATATTCTTGAAACTTTACCATGCTGCTTTTTCAGTGTCATTCATCCCTGCTAATCAAATTTTTGTTTCGAAAAAGAGTACGCATTTGAGGACCATCAAAAATACCTTCTTTCAATTTCGCATGAATTATCGCTCAAAACTTCTTTTCTAAATATTGAAAACAATTACCGTCTTTGACCAGAACTTTGACAAACTGCTTCATGAGACCACGCTTGATATGATGAATTTTTGAAGGCATAATCAGTGGTCTTCTTCTTCCTTTCCTAGTGGTTGGTCCTAATAAGTCCCATAGCACCGCGGCCTAATTAGGCCTATTGTGCATCGCACTACTAGTCCTATTCAGTAAGTAGTTTTGTCCTTTTGACAAAATCCTAAAGCTTCCTTGCTGACACTTCTCTCAGTTCCTTAGGTTCCAAATAGTGTCTCCCCCAGCGTCATTCAACTCATTCAACTACGTGCAAATGCCGGACACTCGCCTAGGATATGCAGGGATGTTTCATCCATCCTCGGCAGACCGGACTGTCCCGTCACTCTCCTGCGCTGGATTTTATTCAAGCTCAGTAAATCGTTTGTTCTTTCCTTCAAAGGATACTCCATGAGCTCCTTAGAATGGCTATGTCCTGGCCTTGAAGACCAGTATTTCCTATGTTCTGTCTCGGCCCGCCTGATCGTACTGGGAGATGTACCACAGAAGGGCTCCGGACCAATGAACTCACATCCCTTCCTAGCAAGTTCATCCGCTTTCTCGTTCCCACAAATGCCTTTGTGTCCTGGCAGTTTAACTGTATTATTGATGGCCAGTACAGTCAGCATTTGTAAACAGTCCCACACAAGTTTTGAACTCATCTTGTTTGTGCTTAAAACTTCACTGGTCAGTGGTCTACATGTATGATGTTCCTCGAATCTGAATGAAAGAAGCAGGGATATTTTGTGAAACCTGATTGCTGGCCCAGAATCATGGTTGAATTTTTTAGATCAACGCAAACTTTCCATTGATATTTTGAGTAGTTTATTTTCTCCAACATTATCTGTAAATTCTCGTGAGCTTTGAGCTTCATTGAGTAAACCACACTTGATCAGGGTCAGGAAAAATTTTTTTTCGAATTTTTTTGGGCTCACTAACGTGATTTTTGGCGAATTTTCGCTATTTTTGGTGATTTTTCGTTATGATTTTACAATTTTTGTAAAATCTGGGAGGATACAGCTTAAAAGACTACAGAATTGGATTGAGCATATCAAAATACACAAGAAACCCACTTGATCAAGTTTAGAACAAATTTTTTCGGATATTTTTTCGCTCACTAACGTGATTTTCGGCGATTTTTCACTATTCCTTGCCAATTACTCAAAATTCTGGGGGCTTGAGCTAAAGCCTATTGGGTCAAATCAAAGGCATATACCACTTTTTTGTGTGTCCCGGTATTAACGTGAATATACTTTTATTTTGTGGAGAGAAATTTTATTCAACTCAATCTTCCTCAACCAAAACGTAATAAGACAAATAAATGTTTCCTTCAATATGATCAAAGACAAAAGGTCTGTTCCAACAAGTGTCAGGGATTGGTTCCGAACCGTTCGAAATGTTTGACCAGCTAAGTTCTAAATGTTTCTTCACTGAATATATCGCAAGAATTAGTTGGATGCACATTTCGAACGGTTTGGAACCAATTCCTGACTCATGTTGGAACAGACCTAAAGGGTTTCGTTCCGAGAACATCAGTTATGCGTCTGTTAAGATAATTTTTTTTTCTGTATAGGAATATCCCACTCTATTTTTGCCTCATTGTAAGATACCTGACAAATTGTCAGTTAGAGGAATTAAAAGTATTAGTTTTTAGATAAATTTAATTCCTAACTTTTTCTTATAAAAGGATACTAATCGAAATTAATGCAGGCATTCGTCGAGCCAAAATGAAGGTTGTGTTGTGCGTCCTAGCTCTTGCTGCAGTCGCCTTAGGTAAGATACAAACAAATATATATTTTCATCTCATTTTATTATAGCTAATATTAATTAATTTAGGTGTACAACTTTTTTTGGTAGAAGCCTAGTCATATGATTACAAAAATTAGATCTTTCTTGATGCATATATCCTTTGTTTGTGAAAACAGTAATATACAGGGAGTTCCTAAATATTATGTATATAAGGGATGGGGTAATTCTTTGGCTTATTTCATGACTAAAAGTTCGTATAAATATAGGTCCGCAAACGCTTCGTTACCGATCTACAGAGTGTTGAAATTTTAAGATTTTTAAAATTTTTTCTCTATAGCTCCCACAGTTTTTGAGATATTTAGCTGAAATTTGGAATATACGTTACCCTGTAGGGCTTACATCATCGGGCATGCCAAATGGTCGTGATATTCTATAGAGTGATATTTTTTCGGGGTTCATGCCCCCTTTTCTTCCCCTGAACTTTTGTGTGGTGCGCCGCTGGTAGATACTAAAACTAAAATGAATTTTATGTTTTGTTGAGAAACTTTTTTGCTTCTTTTGATTTTTTCGTATCTGCGATCGTTATCGAGAAAAAAATAAAAAACGATTTTATGTAATTTGTTAAATGAAATTTAAATTCTTAAAAAGGTCCAGTAGGCTCTAGCTTTATTTAGATAATCTCTTGTTTCTATTAATTTTAACAGTTTATTCGCCACTACCTGTTAAAAATTAAAGCTCTGAGATGACCTATTTCAAAATTCGTAAAATGAGATTATAATGAGTATTTAAAACACTTTTACACGTTACAGTTTGTAACATAAACCTTTAATTTTTAAACATATGCAGACCCAAGTTACTATTTCAAATGCGAACTGTCAAAATTCCTTATGTACATGATATTTAGGAACACCTTATATATTATTTGTTTGTAATGAATGTGCATTTATCCGTAATGCCAAAATTCTGATCACTCTGTGCTCTGTGCATAGAAATTTGCGATATACGAGTTTGTCGAGATAGAATTCTAGTACTAATATGAGGATCATCTTCAATTGTATTCAAAATAAGTTCTTCGTCTTGTGCCCTGATTGCAATAGCACGTTCTCGAGTGTTACTCAAAAACTTGCCTGTTTCTCGAGCCCATCTCTTAACATTGAAAAATGTTTCTCTATGGAGGATTACACGATTTGGACATCTTCTTTGATATTCTTCAACACTTCTTCTATAGTTTCCTTCACAGACACCTAACACTAATAGCATGTCAACTTGTTCGCTGAATCAAAACTTCCCGGTCATTTTCAAACTACTTTACTAAAATTAAATCCTAGATTAGAGAAGTATAAATTAAATGACTTTTTTCCTGATCGTCAAGTTTGACGTTTAAATTCATAGCCAACTTTTGAATTTTCGATGATTTTGAATAACAGGTACAATACGTATTATAGTGGAGTCAAGATAGATTTTAACTTCGCGGAAATTACTGGGAGAGAACTTTTTATTTTTCGCTTTGTAAAGTTGTCAGAAACAACATATAAAAAGTTACCAACTGTAGAGTGTACGCTAAATTATTTATTTAACAAATTAGTTGCAAAATTACAGTTTTTGCAAAATATATAAAAAAATATAATTTAAAAAAAAATAACTGTGACCTCACAAAAATTTAAATGAAAGAAGTATCATCCGGCTATCAAAATTTTATGTCCATAAACTTGAGAAAAAAAAATATATATATGTATATTACGTATACAAAGTTACATCATTCTATAATTTTGTAATAAAATAGCTCTCATGCTTTTAATTTTTAAAATAAATATCTGTAACTTTCACAGATTATTCTTCAAATGACGATTGAAACAGTGAGCGATATGGAAAAAATCTTAAAAATTTAATTTGAAAAATATTGAGCCCAACATATTCAATAATTTAAAAAAATCACAAATTTGACTTTTGAGGCCATACTTTATAGATCAAAAACTATAGTTGCAAATGTGATATTGAAACTTTATGAGAGCACTTTTTAAAGCTTAAAATCTCTACTCTAAGATGGCGCATTTTATTTTTCTTAAAAAATTGAAATAATAGTTGAAAAAACAAAAAATAACAAAAAATAAAAATATTTCATGAGAAATCCCTGAAATTTATTGTTAAATAAAGTTTAATAATGTACAAAAAATATTTATTTTTGTTTAATAAACTATCAAAGAATTAAGTTAAAACCTTAAAAAAAGTAAATCCTGGGAAAAATAATTTTTTTATTTATAGTAATAAGTGGAAAATTGCAAAAAAATTACGTTTTTTGATTAATTGATTTAATATTAATTTTTAAAACGTATATTCTGTATCTGAAATTGTGAATATAAGTTCTCTTATTGATGTAGACACAGATATGAGTCTAATATATGCTCAAGAGAGACAGAAGAGAGAGGAAACCTGCTCGGTGAGTATAGCACGCACTATTACATAGAATTGTTTGCTAAGGGGAATTTTGAAAGTTGTTTTTCTTGTCAGTTTGGGTGACGAAGCTAAGCAGTGAACACACCAAATATTTTTTTGTTACTTACAGTTTCATTTATTTTAAAAGCGTTTTTCGTTTATAAGAATTAAATAATAATTATTATAAATGGTATAAGAATATGATTTTTATGCTTTCGAGTAAACTGCAGTTATCAGTGTGTTAAATAGTGTATTATTCACATATTTTGTCCATTTTGAGGTTATACTCTCTTTCACTTGTAAGTCGCTAATTGCTAAATAAATTGTTTACAATAGTCGGTCATATTGGATCAGCCATTTTGAATTATCATTTTCCGACATCATATTCTTGTTTAGCGACCTCAAAAACTCCTATATTACAAATATAAACAAGTTTGATTTAAAATCGATAATTGTTAAATAAATTGTTTAAAATAGTCAGCCATTTTGAATTTTCATTTTCCGACTTCACATTCTTGTTCAGCGACATCGAAAACCCCTATATTGTCAATTTGAAAGAATTCGATTTAAAATTCATTGAATTATTTTAAATGTCCTTAAAAAAACTATTTATTATTGTTTAAACAATTAAAAACAATTAGCGTACAAAAATAAGTTTATAACTTTTTTTTAATACTTATCTCCAAGTAATTTCAAAAGGTTTTAGGAAAATCCATGCTTTCCATAATTATTTCGAAATAATGCCTAATTTTAAGCTATCTTGACTCCACTATTATTAGTTATTCGCGTTTTTGCTGAAAACGACAAACTTTCTTGAAAACTAACAAGAGTAAGAAAAGTTTTAGAATTAAATAACAATAATAATCTTTAACTTTCTTCACCATTCACCAAATACTAATTCTCCCCAAATATTTTTCTGTTCCTCTTCTCAACTTTCCTAAACTCTTCACAAGCATTCCTGCCAACCCCGTTGCCAACATAACAATGGGCGGCAATTTTGAAATATACATACCATAAAAAATCCTTATATTATCATCCGTTTAGTTGACTTAGCTCAGTTATTTGTATGAATTTGGTGGCTTGCACTTGATAAATTTATATGAAGAGACACGTACGTTAGTGTTATTAACCATACTAAAGGATGATTCTTTTCTATTTTTAGCATTTTATTTTCATTTATTCATTTTTAACGTCTTATTAAAACATAGGTACCTTATTAATATGGCAGTGTGGAGAAATTAGTAACTAACTAAAACTTCCTGTTCCTTACCCTCTTCTTCAGATCGCTGGGTAAGCTCTATACTTTCCCATTGCAAATCAGAAAGAACCACTGTTCACAATGCAAACTCCAAAACCCCATACCTCGACAACTCATTCATGCACCAAAGTGACGAAGTCTAGTTATCAGCACTAAGAACATCTCCCCTGATTTATTTTATTTAAAAGTAATTTAAATAAGTTGAAAAAATCATTCTAAAATCCTATCTTCATCCGCAGGTGCTCCAAGTGCACCAGGCGGTCGCATCTTCGGGGGTATCAATGCTGCTAGAGGCGAATTTCCCTTTATAGTTTCTCTGCAGTATTGCATAATTGGTTTCTGCCAACATTCCTGCGGGGCCACCATATTGTCGCCAAGTTGGCTGCTCACCGCTGCGCATTGCTTCACCGAATTGCCGGGTATAGGTAGTGTACGAGTCATAGCTGGAATACTGAATCAGAACGACGCAAACGCAGAAAAGCAGACCATTAATATTGGTCGTTATATCGTCCATCCGAACTATGAAGGGTAAGTTAGTATTGTGGATTTTGTGCTAATCCGACAGTTTTTGAACAATCCTAACCTCAAAAAGTTACAACCTAAAATAAATAATAAAAATTAATCTAACTAAACTTTGTGAAATAAATAATTGTTGTTTATCTCCAAAGTGGCGTCAATCCCCACGACATCGCCCTCATAATGTTGTCATCTTCTTTAATCTTGAACGCGCAAGTACAACCAGCAAGACTTCCCAGACAGGGCGAAGAACCGCAGGGGCCATTCGATCTGGCAGGATGGGGTTCTATAGGCGGTAGTAACCTCTTCCCACAGATGCCAAACAATCTGCAGAAGGCCGTCGTTCCGTTAGTTCCCATTAGAGGTAAGTCTAGTCATTGTTTCTCAATATTCATTCAACCATTATTTATATGAATTATTTTTTTATTTAACTCTGTTACATTATTTCAAGGGGTTAGTTTAGTTGCTGTTGAAATATAAGAAATATTTTTAAATTATCGTACTACAGTATCTAGATTGACCAAGATCAAGCAACCTATTGTTCTATAAAAAAAGTATCAAAATTCGATATCATAAACAAAGTATAGGAAAATAATAAGAAAATAATCAAATGTTGTTACACGATTTTCTTTCGTTTTCAGGCTGTGACGTAATAACTAATTTTAAAAATTTTAAATCAGAGTATGTGCATGTCCCAAGCTCAAAAGTGGGATATTTTTCAGTTTCATTTTATGTTAAATCTCTTAACATTTGATTACAAGTTTCTACGCAAAAAATATAATTTGCTTCAAATTGATACCAAACGTCAACGTACAGGGTAGCAGAAAAGTTGGAGCCAATTTAATTCAAGTGAACCTTGATAGTTGGCACCCTCTACAAGCAGCATTAAAAGCAACGACATATTTAGCATCCTAAAAACTCCCGTACCCCAAGTTGTTTGCCATCATTCAAATCACCCTATGTATATCGAAAACTAAGCACTTGTGGACCCACGTGTATAGGAAAAAGTCTTATTTTGACTTCAAAAGTATGCACCTAAATTCTTTATACTGAATTATTTTTAATCAACCTGTATACTGCAGATAGTATACATTAATGAGTCAAACTGAACAACTCTGAAAATATAAAGACCAGCCAATAACCACGATCATTCTTGTTATAAATATTATTATTCAATTTTTAGAATGCGACGCAGTGTTGACTAGGATCTTGGAAGGAAGACCACATCCCCTCCATTTTGAAAGTAACGTCTGCTCTGGGCCTTTGGACGCGCCGATCACTGCTTGCGGCGGAGACTCAGGTGGGCCCCTCTCAAAAGGCAATGTGGTGGAGGGCGTTGTTTCCTGGGGTATCAACCCATGTGGTGGAGTAGATGCTCCTACCGTGTATGTAAAGGTCAGCAACTACATCAACTGGATCCAGCGGTACGTCGATGAACCTTTATTGTTCGCCGATTAATCTCTGAAATAAAGTACCATGTTTTCAATGAATTTGAAAATTTTAAGCGTCTTTTTCTGACCCCTGAAATACAGTGACCTGTTCCTTGGCTTTTTTTCATGAACATGATTTTAATCGGCATTCAGGATGTCTTTACACTTAACAATTTCTGTTTCTCTTTGATAAAAGTAGTGGACGTAGTTTCTCGAGGAATCTCACTTTGTTGAATTAGTGCCAAAACCCGGAAACGGCCACACTTCCACATTTGACAGAATGACATTTATCGATAAAACAATTCGATTACAAACTAATATTTGTAAGCTGGAAACTGGACAGTGGACTGGAGGTTCGATAGATCTCTTGCGGGGTAGGCGGTACGGGAGGAAAGCCTATGCTTATACACGGGAGATTCGTTGCAGTACCCAAGGATTGTATACAATTTTTTTTGTATAAAATCCTTGGCAGTACCAACCTCACTGTAAGGACCTTACATAAACTAATTTGAGCGAACTAAATATAATATATGCGAATGAAATTTATAACACATATTTTTCGTGTGCAATTAACTTTTTATTTGAATAAAACTGTCTAATTCATTAAGAGCTTGTAAAACTATGGGTGAAATCTGGCAACATTGCACATCAGTGTGGCGTGGTGGTAAAAGTCAACTGACAACTGTGCTTAGCGCGTATACCGTAAACCGTAATCATTAGAGAGCGGACAATGTGTGTCTTTAACCCGAAGAATAGGTCAAATTTTGGTAGAGATGTGTACGCGTTCAAAAATGTATTGTGTATAAACTATGCAAAATATAATTATTATGTATAAGAAATATATCGTATTATCCTCGTGAAGATTTGTATCCTTTATTTAAAATCCGCAAATCATGTAAACTGGTAAAACAACGAGAAAATAATGAAGTTAATTTAATTCTAAAGAAATGAAATGACACTCGCGCCCATCTCTAGTCCATCCGTCGACATCGGTTGCGTTTATCGAATTCCTATTGGTCAGAATTCAAACTGCAGCCCTGTTATGAATGGAGCGTGAGTTGGACTATTCTATCATGTGCGTCGCCTGAGGCTATTCGTTACATTGACTCCTAATTTCCAATTAAAAGAATGATACTATTTTTAACCGAACTTTATTTAATAAATATGTAGTATACAATTTCTGATTTTCGAAATATTTTATAACGCCTAAAAATTTATGCACCGTGGAATTTTCGTGAATTATCACGTAAATTTCCGATTCTAAGTTTATGAATGACATATCTGTGTTCAAGGTTAAAGACACAAATTGTCCGCTCTCTGGTAATCATGAATGAACATCCAACAAGATACAAAGGGAAAGTAATGACTGAAAACAATATAAACGGCGTATGAAACAAATATATTATATGAATTGATGAGAAAGAAGCAAAATGTGCAAACCGAGAATCCATATGACAACTTATTTATCGTTCATGTTACCGCACGTAGCATAGACAACCACGTAGTAAGCACATAACACTTTATGTGGTAGTAAGTAGTAAAATTGCTTTTGGTTCATCTTAGCTACTTAATTGTTAAATCGTTAGTCGAAGTTGTTGTTGCCTTTGCGTTGCGTGCTTTTGCCATTCTTACATTCATAACAATGACTTCTTTATCCATCTCTGGGACAATAAATAGTTTAAATAACCTATATGGGACTACTCGAATGAAAATTATCAATTATATCGATTATAAAAATCTCTCGAGATATCTCGAGTGATCATATAAATTCATTCGATTATTCTTAGACGAATGACGAATGACAGTGGCCACAGTATTACTAACGTCAATCGTCACTCGTCATCACCGAATAACGCAAACGCGCTGCTCGAGCGAGAGCACAGGTGTTTCGATTATTCCAACGCTCTAACGAGCTACAAAACCTCGAGATAAGACGGCCGAGAGGATGGATGAGACAATCGATTATCACCGCATAAAAAAGATATGCAGTATTTTTATGAGTGGCATCGCGCGGTTTTGAAGGGCGGTTTAGAAGGGAGCTTTATTTAGCAAGAATAGAAATTCATATGAATGAAAATAATACAAAAATTATGTTTTCTATATAATATTTTTTTTTCAAAAACCCAAACAATGGATCTCTTTAGGCGGCGACTACTCATTTTAAACACATGCTGATGAACCACTCAACTGACAACGAAGAAATGCCGCAATACGCGAAAGTCATTAATTTCGTTTTTTTTCGCATATAATTTTTGGGATAGGTCGGAAATTTTGGAAGTGGACTTTCGATTATATATCATTCGAATGATCATTCGATTATAAAATTAATTCGAAAGGTAACCTCTCGATTATTTAATTCATTCGATTATTTCCATCGCTACTATATAGTGAGGCCTCTGGGCCTACAAGCTCTACGCAGGCGCTCTTTCTAAAAATAAAATAATAAAATAAACGATATTAAATTTCCTTTGATTCTAAAAAAGGCCACGCAATCATAAAATTTGAAAATCGACACTTTTTGATTTAATACAACTTCAAACATAAACACTTTTTAGTTTCATTAAAAAAAATATTTCCAGATCTTGCCGAGGTCCCCCGATATCGTGAGGCCCGAGGCTGCAGCCCCCGTAGCCTCCCCCTTAATCCGATCATGGGTGAATTCGAATCCGATGTCGAATTTTTCAATTGGCTGTGGTTTTCGAGATATCCTAACCTAAAAGTGCCAAAGTCGCGATTTTTTTTATATATTTGAGGTTATGTTACATGGAAAGGAACATTTTTTTGCTGAAACCATTAATGGGGTCTTATTCTTTAAAACGCACTTGGATTTATCCCGATATCATTTTTCGCATTTGAGAAACCGCTTGTTCAAATTTAGTAGTTCGACTCATTTCTCGATTTTTGAATATACTGTCAACACAGCACCACAAACCTAAATTCATCGGCATCCGGAGGTAGAGACCTTATTTGTTTTTGGGGACGTTGATCACGAATTAGTACCTCCAAAGTACTTACGTGTTTGAACTTTATGGGTTTCTGAATTAAGGGTTTACATTCTTGTGGGTTTGTGTTTAGAGTTTATGGGTTTGGAGTTTATAGGTTAAGGGTTTATGGGCTTAAGGCTTATGAGTTCGGGATAAGCGTATCGGTTGATTAGGACGGCCACAGTAAATTTTCAAAAGTTAACACTTTTTTTATTTTTAAACAATTAGATTACATTTATCAATCTGTAATTTAGTTTTTTTAAATTATAATTTTAAAGTACTATTTTTTCTTAATTTTATCTGTATTTAACAAAAAATTTAATTTCCAAATAAAAATAAATAAATAAATAAACAAATAAATAAAAAATAAATATCATATTCAGTGTGTTGAAATATATACCGTCATCTGGGGTGAAAACGGACGATTTTTGTTTTTTTTTTACTGATAACTGGTACCCTTTTTGTACAAAAAAAATCAAAAAAATAATATAGATAGCCCCATATGTGTCTAGAATATTATGGGATAAATAAAATATGCAAACATTTTATCCCCACTTTTTTTTTTTCTATTAAAGCTTGTTCGCCTTCGCTCCTACATGTGGGGTAAACATGGACACCCATTTATTTTTATTGAAAACTCATCTTTTGGCATAGAAAGAGGCGAAGGCGGACAAAAATGCAAAAAAAATGTTTTATTAAAAGAAGTGGCATTAAATGCAGAAAAACAATATTTTCAACAAAAACGCTTTATTCAAGGTTATGAAATAATAACTTCAAATTTTCAAAAAAAAAATATTTTTTTGAAAATTTGTTTGCAGAAAAAGCAAAAACAAGATCTTATGAAATTATTTTTTGGGTGATTTATTCAATTCTAATGTTTCTATATTTTTCTAAAATAGTGAACTGATGCCTGTCGAATACTTTTATAGCCCCTCCCACTAAACATTTTTCAGTTTCTAACATATTTCAGAAACGTTTCCATTTTTCTCGAAACGTTTCATAAAAAATCCATGCAACTTTCTGGTAACGTTCTAGAATCCCAAGATCCCCAAAATACGTTTCCAATGAAACGTTTCAGTAACATTCTTTTTATGTTGCATTTATGCAGTCAATATTTTTGTTTTACGTTTCAGTATATTTTCAGAAATGTTTCAGTAACATAATAATTTTATTACCATATTGTTCTCATAATGCTCTTAACTTTAGATAATTTTCATTTCAAAAGCGTTTTTTAAATAGTATAAATAGTGTGAGTAATTTTTTAAATATTTCTAATACTCTTGTGTGATATTTTTATTTGTATTGTGAATGACTTAATTCGAACTCCAGACAATTTTTTCTGATTTCTCAAAAAATGTAACTAAAAAAAGTTGTTACGTTTATATTAAAAAATAATAAATATGCCCTTCTAGTTTGGGGATGCAGCAACTTTTACCAAGAATTTCTTTCTTTTTGAGAAGCCACTGAAAGTTTCTAATATGGATTACGAATTTTGCCATTCATCGTACAAATAAATATGCCACAAAACAATATCAGAAGCATTTTAAAAAAGCTACACATCACTTTATATTGTTCAAATACGCTTCAGCAGAAATGGAAATTTTCTAATGTTGAGACCATGGTGAATATGGTAACAATGACGAACTGATAATTAGAAAAGGTTAGTTATGATTATGAATCTTGAAATGGTAGGTACATGAAAAACAAATAACATTATTGAAAAATAATGTAAAGTTCAATTTCTTCTACGCGTGGAATAAAAGAATTTTTGTAGCAATAAGGGTGCCAGACCTGAACTGATCCCCTCGTCCCTTCATAATGTATAAAGAAATTATTCAATTTGTAAAACCCTTAAAGGTGTACTTCACTGGTTCCCTTGACAGGCAATGATTTATTACTTTGCATCGAATATGATCGTACTATAAACTCTTTTATTTAAGCATGCCTATACACAAACAAATATAAACATTTGTACAAAATATAAAATAAATGACGTCTATTTCGCTTGATTCATCCATATTTCAAATAGTTCTTACTGACGAAGTAGTTGCTCTTCAAATTGTCCTCTTCTATAATAGGTGTAGTGGGGT